TTTCGAACTTTCCTAGATTTCACAAAAATGTAAACTCGCTGGAACTTTGGAAGTATATTTCTGAAAATAGTTCACCAAAAGGGTCTTTTTGAGGCAATAAAAGAAAATCCGAATTTTCCGACCTGCCGTCGGATTCTCCATATTTACAGGCAATGGCTCTTAAATACTATTCGAAAATGTTCTGTAACTTTTCACTGCAATTGAATATGGCAAAACGCAGACACGCTTTTTTAGCGCTTTTTGTCCTTAAACCGGGGAAAAAAATAAATTGGCGATAAATTAGCTTCCAAAGGTGATCAGGGCGCTCGTATTTAACGGTCATGAAAAAATCAGCAATTCATTTTATTTCAAAAATTATTGGTATAGTTTGATAGCCAGCTCTATAAACTTTAATTTGATATAGGGGTATAGGTATCTACCGCTTAAACCGGACGCGCTACATCGCTTGGACGCGAGACACCCCTGAAGGTATTCGGTAACCTTAATTTGACGAGGAATAGCATATTTTGTTCAAAATAACACAACTATTATCCTACCTAGCGACACTCGACGAGCTTCGAGCGAGTTGCCATGCCGAACGCCGGTGACCCATTCTTGGCGCCAAATTAGAAGTTTGGAGAAAAAAGATGTTTCATATTTTTCACTTTTTACAATCTGATATGGCTTTTGGAATTTTAAATCCCTTTTCGTGGAAAGCTAATGCCCTTTCCAGCGAGAAAAGTTGCCTGATTTCAATGCCTTTCCAGCTAACTTACATTGATGCCAGGACGGTTAAGTTTTTCCCGCCTGCTGAATCCTGATTGGTCAATTTAAATTTCCCGCGCTCCAGCCGTACGCAAGGTAGTTCGTTCTTCCATAATGTGTACAACAGTACAAATTTGTGGGTTTTGAAGTTTTCTTGAAATATGTCGTTAAATTACAGTGGACGCACGGTTACTTGCCCTGAAAATTAGAAGAACAAAAATTTACCTACCAGGGCGGGTGGGTGTTGTCCCCGTTTTTCTTGTAGTTAGTACTTTTTCCATTTGTCTTGTTGAAGATTCATCTTCTGTGGCTGTTGTTACAACAAAGGACTTATTTACAAGGGGATCAACAGTCGTTCCGTAAAATATCAAGGACCATCTTCGAAGTTCACCTACAATAAAAGCAAAGGAATATCTAAACTAATGTTTGAGCTGAGCTGAGAAATCACAAGTTATATTTCCATGATATCGAGACTCTAGACTTCTGATCAACAAAGACGTATTTTTGGCATTCTATTCCGAAGCCAGATTCTCACCATGAGCATTTACACACTTAAACCATCAATAATACTGTTTGTGGCTAATCCTAACTGTAAAATTAAAATTACTACACCAGCAACCTGCATATAGCGACAGCTAAACGAGATAGGTTGCAAAATTAAAGGGACCCAAAACACAAAAAGTAATTAATTAATCAATTAAGTAATTAATTATTCCAAACAAAAAGGAAAAAAGAAAAAGGAACAAAAAAGACAGCTCAAACAGGATTTTTCACGTTGGCCGGGTACCTTATTTTGAGTGGAGCTCCGCGCGCCTTCACTATGAGTAAGAAAATGCGGTAAGCTTTCGACGAGAATAATTTTGTTTTCGGTTATGGCGTTACTGTGCGGCCACCGTACGTCCACCCCTCCGTGCAAGTTAACCCCGTGCTATGTTCCGCATTTTGGCGGGAAATCATATGGGCAACTCGGGTTTTAGGGCGGAAAATCGCGTGTCCAACTTCGTTTTCGAAAAATACAACAACAAACTGGAGACAAGAAAAGAAACTTATAATCTTTTACTAGTATCGGTATTGTTTTGTAAAAGCTTAAAATTTATTGAAGGCAGAAACTCAAACTCCAGGAGAAAAGAAACACGATCAAATGCATGTACATGACTCAAAATCTGACAGAAAGTTGCAAAAAGCTGTAGAGAAAATGCCAAAAACGAGCGCTCTTCGCGCTTTATTTTAAAAGTTGGAGATCTCAGTTTAAAGACTGTAAGCAGTGCTATGTAGTAAGGTTAATTTTTGAGTTGTTTTGGTTTGAACCGGGAAGAATAAGTATTGGATGTTATGGACAGCGAAATGGGTTGGCTGGTTTAAATTTTATAGTGTACGGGTCTGCGAGAGAAAAGCTCGTGTAATTTGGGTTGGTATNCACTGTTTTCATAAATCCAGACATATATTTCAAGGGAACAAGACTGCATGACCCAGAAAGGTTGAAAAACGACCATGTCTAATTTCTGTCGATCTATCTAAAGCATTTAGAGTCAAACTAGGGAATTCCCTGAGCAGTTTAGGACATTCTGTACCAATATATGTCTGAATTTATGAAAACCGTGTTAAAGACTTTGCACCAAAATAGCGGGCATGTTTTTGGAAAATCGGTTAGATATTTTTGTCATGTTATCAGAGAAAGTAACGTATGTGTGACACGTTTTTGCGTAATGCACACGGGCTCCTTTTAGCTTCCCCACCCAGCCCCCTTCCCACAAGCCCAATTGATTAATTGAAATTAATTAATTACACAAACAGTAAAGTTTACACCTTATTATGTTATAGTGTTAGTGTTTGACCGAACAGCAGCCCCCTAAACCATCCCAATAGTGCACTCTGTACTAAAAACGGTATTTTATGGCGAAAATTTGGTATTCAAAGGGTTAAGACCTGAACCAAATCATTCAAATCCGTAAAGTCATATCACCAAAACGCTACCTCCTGTGAAAGAAAAATTGGTCCATATTCTTACCCGTTGTTTGGAAACTTGGGTCTAAGTTTGTGACATTAAGTTTCCACTGCCCCTCAGGACTCTCTCCCCAGTGAAACAAGGTTGTGATGACCCAGTTTGTCAGTGTTGGTTCTCCCAAATAGTTATCCATCATGCGGTAACTAGTCAGTGGCGAAGTGGTCCCAGTCGGAGCCTCCAGCGCAAGACCAAGGTCTCCTCGGCGTGGAAAATAGAGACTTACATTCACCTGGACATGTTCGAGGTATTTTATGTCACAATTGTCAAACTTTATGGTAACTTCAGACGGGATTGTCCTAAAATTGAAAGTACACCTTGTAGATCATGACAACTATCGCGAACACATTATTATCACAACTTCTTAAAAGAAACAGGGTCGTCGAAGAGCCTGGGCACTATTCCCTTTACAAACAGTGCGATTGTCGAAGAGTTCGGCGAGTTGAAGCTGTAGGATCTGGAAAGTAGCTAGAGGCCTAGCAGTAAGCTTCAGGCCGGGACTACTAAGGAAACAAACCGTGGTTGAAGCAAACGTTAGCCTTTGGAATATTGAACTTCTTCTTTAACTTTTCGCAGTAGAATAGTAAATTTAGGGTTAAAATGTAAATGTGATTTTATCCTCGGGTACCATTCCTTTCACAAACAATGCGCATCACGATGATGTTAAGCTACAATGTACTTACACCTATCAGTTTGTTATCAGTTGTCGGTGGATATAAAACTGTCGTTATCTTTTAAAACTCACTAGTTATTTCCTGCTGACACAGCAACACGATAATGCAACGCATGCATTCCTGAATTTCCAAGAGCAAGCTACAATAGTCAAACCTGTTTACATCTTGTGCATCAATCACGCATTTTCGTTGCTTGGGAACTGTGTTCCAGTGTTTCGCCAAGTATACCATCTTGCCTGCATCCATGAGCCCAAAGCCATAATATTTGCTGACGGACAAACCAGCTTTGTTTNCTGTAGGATCTGGAAAGTAGCTAGAGGCCTAGCAGGGCTACTAAGGAAACAAAACGTGGTTGAAGCAAACGATAGTTTTTGGAACATTGAACTTCTTCTTTAACTTTTCGCAGTGGAATAGTAAATTTAGAGTTAAATTTTATTCTCGGGTACCATTTCTTTCACAAACAATGCGCGTCACGATGTCAAATTACAATGTACTTACACCTATCAGTTTGTTATCAGTTGTCGGTGGATATAAAACTGTCGTTGTCTTTTAAAACTCACTAGTTATTTCCTGCTGACACAGCAACACGATAATGCAACGCATGGATTCCTGAATTTCCAAGAGCAAGCTACAATAGTCAAACCTGTTTACATCTTGTGCCTCAATCACGCATTTTCGTTGCTTGGGAACTGTGTTCCAGTGTTTCGCCAAGTATACCATCTTGCCTGCATCCATGAGCCCAAAGCCATAATATTTGCTGACGGACAAACCAGCTTTGTTTCTGACCCAGTCTCCTCTCTGTAGCGGCACTCCTCCAGGCGCTGATCTGGCAGTTCTAGCAATCACGTGTTGCACATCACGCCATGTTAAGGAGGGGCTAAACACCAAAAATACCCCTCGTTACATAACAGATATGTAGAAATATTTATTTTGTAATGACTTTTATTCCACAAGTTTTATTCTGTTCGGACAAAAAATTTGAAGTCAGTTTTGGGACACGCAATATAGCAGCATGCTGGCTATCGGCCTTCTGGTTTGTTGGACATCCACAGGAAGACACCCCGTCAACTTAATTAGCTATCATTTCTAACCACAATGACTGACACATTCCATGATAAGAACAACCATGTCGAAGTTGTACACAGCGTCCACACTTCGGCTCATTCTTTAATTTTATGATCGCTTTCCGTTTCTTTCCCTCTTCGACAAACAAACATGCAAGTAAAAACAAATGCTTTCAATATTTGGAGGAAACATTTCAATGGAAGAAATGTAAAATAGTTTACAGTTTCTAGGCGACATGCGGACCTTTTCTGGATAATCAAGAACACAGGCCATTAGTAGTGCGAAGAGACTGAACCGAGGCGAAAAAAAAAAAATAATAACGGAAAAACACTCCTTAGCTCATTTTTCCCAGGTCGCGGCTTTTTTGTACACTTTACCAAATATCGGTCCTAACTGATGGGTGTGAACTTCAGAACAACCCTTTTTGCCCAAGGCTAAACTCTGCAGCCTTTAACAGAAGGTTTTATTCCCGAGGAGCTGTCTAATTAATAAGTTCCCTGTTTTAGTCATGCATGCATGCATGGTTTATTTAACAAAGCAGGTTGAGGAATTGGCAAGACGTTAAGTTCTGATGTGGACCTGTACTATTTAAAATTATTACTCGAATGTCTATTACCAAAACTGGAGTCTTACTTTGCTTCCAGTGTCAGTGCGATGAGACCTGAAGCCATTGCTGTAGCTGCTGATGAATCTCCAAAGTCATTAACACATCCTTTGTCATGATCTGCTGTTATCTAAACAATAAGAACAAAAATTGGCACACAAGGAAAATTAAGATCGCCTATACTCATTTTGCTTACAATAAACTACAGATTTTTCTAAAGGATGTCATTAATACAAGCAACTGGGCATACCTATATCACGTTTAGCTAAGTCCAGCCCTTATAATCAAACACAGAAGTAACGTTAGACCCTCCCACGGATCTGTTTATTTTTCGTGCTTCGTAAACTTTGTTGTTCTTGTTGTTGCTTTTCCTCGCAGTCGTGTCCGCCATTCACGAGATGCCCCTTATAGCCAAAGGGAGAAAGAAAGAAGAGAGAGAAAGAGAGGGAGAAAGA